TATTTATGAAAGCTTCCTGATATAAAAAAGATTACTTTTTTTCAAATCATGACTAGAGTTTTCCCTTGCAAAGTGATTGTGTATTTTGGGGGGTAGTATGGATGGGACGGGAATGGAACGATCTGTTTAACTGTCCATATGACTGTCTGTCCCTGAAAGTTTTTCCCAGAAGGCCAGGCTATAACATAAAGAAACCAGAAGCTTGTACTCGATACAAAGATTTCAAATGATCCTATGATGTGTCATTGTATTTATTCAAGGCAATATTACGGGAAATTCAAGATCACTGGAAAAAGAATTAATGTTTTGTTGCATTCATTTATATGTAATCGAGAATATCTGTAAGCTCATACTTGATACAGAGATTGCTTGTGATAAAAAGGTTTTTTTTTACGATTTTGACTCAGAAAATAGTATTTTTTTCATTCTGACCATATTTGTTTAAGTTCATACTTGATACAAATTGCTTGATAATCCGCCGGTTTTCAGATGACTTAAACCCAGATAGCATGACTATGTTGGGCCAACGTTGGCGCATAGTTGTTGACTGCGTTGGTCCAACGTTGGCAACCTAACGTTGGCCCAATGCAAGTTTGCTCATCGGCCCTACGTTGGTCCAACATCTTGGCCCAACGTTGGCACAACGTTAGTCCACTTTATTACTGCATTTGGTCAATGTTGGCCTAGCAATGGCCAAACGTCAATTACCAACAGTGATTGTATCAACAAAGGCCCAACATTGGCCCAACGTACTTTTTGTGTTGGCCCAACAATGGCCCAACGTTCGTTCACCAACATACCATCGGTGGCTCAATGGGGGTCCAGTGTCCGGTACCTGTGTTGGTCAAACAATGGCCCATTATTTTTTTACGGACAGTTGTTTTTCAACGTAGGGCCAACAGAGGCCCAACCTATCCTATATAAATAAAGATTTCCATTCAAAATTAATCCATCTTGACAAAAATAAAGAACTAGCTAAAAAAAGTGATAAACTGTACAATTTATTTGTTAGTTTCTAACAAATTCTGTTCAGTTTATTTCAATATTATAACAATAATTAAATAAAACATTTGCCAAAGTTTACAGAGTTTAAACATATATTTTTAAACATATATATCATGTATATAGTTTATGCACTATCTTCTTTCAAACATCATCTCACATCAATTCTAAAACCATCCCTTTGTTCACAAAAAACGTAAAATCCCAGTTGATTGAAGTTCACAACACGACTTGGCAATATTTTTGAATTTCAATTTTTATCAATCTGTATTGTTTAAGGACACAAATAATATTATCCAAGAACATTTGAAACATCATTCTTTGGTCATGTTCGGATTGCATTTGTTTTTCACATATTCACTTCTATTTCCATTTTCTTCTCCTTCTTCATTTTATTCAGTCCTTTCTATAATAATTACCGGGTATACTAATGTAAGAAAAACTTTTATCCAGTCTCCTTTTATAATGAATTACGCTCAAATTTTAAGCTTAATTAAGACTTCAAAATTCATAAACAAACACTATATAGAGATGAATTTTTGATAAGTGGATACTAATAGTAGGAAAGTTTAATTGTCATCAATAAACTAGTTAGTTTAGTCTCATTGCTATGGAAGAAGCTCATCTCATTGCATGGACAAAGAATGTGCACTTATTCCAGAATCTTAATCTCCCTTTAAATTAAATACGCTTATAATAAGTAATTAACTGTTGGGCCAACATAGGACCAATGTACTCATACCGACACAGAAGAGAACACTTGCCCTTGCATAGGACCGACGTTGGGCCAGCGTAGATTACCAACCTAAATGATCTTTTCATAAAAGCCTACTGTATGACAAACACTGGGCCAACGTTTGCCCAACGCACTTACTCTAACTATAAAAGAACACTTAGAACAAACATTCAAGCTTACATTGGGCCAACGTTGGGCCAACATACTGCTACCAGATTAAGTTGACAACTTGGTTAAGGTTGCATTACAAACGTTGGGCCAACGGTGGGCCAACTTTGAACCCCAACTTCATTAGAAAATGTAACGAAATGAAATAAGTTGATGTTGGACAAACGTTGGCCCAACGTAAGAGACCCAACATGGTTGGGTACTAAAGAGGTGATTCACATAGTAACGTTGGTCCAACGTTGGCCCAACATTGCCTTCCCAACGCCAACTATCGGCCAACCGTACAACCTTTAACCAACGTTGGCCCAACGTAGTCATGCTGTCTGGGAAATAAGGTCATTTTAACAAATTCAGGGCCAATAACAGAAAAGTTGTAAACCACCTGTCAGAGTTATGAATTTCTAAAAGTTGTTTCAGATTGAGGGTTTGTCTTGACAAAGAGCCAAGGTTATTCTATTAAAATCAAGGTCACTGACAGAAGAAATCTGTTCTTTTCCAGGCTATGAAATAGTAAGTGAAAATCATTGGAGGCTCTTACTTGAAACATAGATTACTTATGATTGGAGGTTGTGTCATGTCACCCTGATCAAAGGTCTTTCTGGCAAATCAAGGTCACTGAGAGAGAAAAAAATGTTTAAGCATAACTTTGTAATTAAGATTCACTGGAGGCTCATGATGAGAAGAAAAGGTTGTTTACATAAGAAAGTGCAGTGACCTTGACCCAAGGTCGGTACTTCCTGTCCACAGCTCCAACGGAAGACCTACTCGTTGCTTTGCAACGAGCTCGGCTCTAGTTAATAAACTGTTTCAGCAGTGTTTTTTATATCATAAATAGTTCCGTTTATCATAAAATCTTAATCATGTTACAAAAAAGTTTAAGGTCGTTTTTAAAAACTGTAAGGTCGTTTTTAAAAACTGTAAGGTCATTTTTTTATTATAGTTTTTGTCATTCTATTTTACGTCTCAGCAGCGGTGAATCTTCGGTACTTTTGGATGAGTTAGTAATGCCGTGATAATGCACATATAGAATTGAGACGTCATTTATTTTATTTATCATTTTATTTATTGAATAATTCTTTTATGATAAAATAAATATGATGATTAGACAATTATTTAATCCTTGTTTATTATGTAAAAGAAGTGATCCCTAGATTGGAGCTTATATAATAATTATAAAAAAAAAACTAAATTCTTAAAAGTTTCGAATAACTTAAGTATTTAAAAAATTAAAAGAGAAAAATTGAACTAAACCTTGATATGAAATAGCTACATACACTCATGTTTGTCGCTGAGACTTGTATTCAGGTTAAGGTGTGCATGACAGGCAGGTTTCTTTGGTTATGGGATTCATTTCTATAGTTCTTGGCCAACAATTGCGCTTAACCCCTTACATGGCATATACGCATTTCTACGCATCTGACTTGAAAAACGAGCATAGTGTGTGAAAAAAATTTCATAACTTCGTTAATACTGCACATATCAGAATAAATCTCGCACCGTTTCAAATAGAAATTAATTAAAATAAAATTGTACACAGAATTTGTTTTCATGGGTTGTATCAGTTTTTAGTAGCTTAAGTTAAACTTTGAGAGGTCCTGCCAGTATCGAAATCAATTCGGGGTAACACGTTATATGTAAAATTTCTAAATTCTGGCGATTACCTTCCAACCCCATCCCATCCCCCCAAAATACTTAAAATTGGTTTTTAAAAAAATGTACAACATGCTCATAATTTTCAACACAACAATAAAATATTTTTAATACATTTAACTTAGCAAAAAAACTAAAATGAAACTCATTTTTTTAATAAGTGGAAATTCCAGCATGTTTATGATGTATTTTGTTGCCATGACAACTGAAATGATATTTTTAAGAAATACTTTTCAAAATATATTGAATTCTAAATATCAATTTGTCAGAAATGATTAAAATCTTTGCCTTGGAAGCTGAAGTAGCTCAGATAACTCATCTAAAACGCATGAAAGATCCATAGCTGCCTTACCGAGGACTCGGCCGACTCAAATATTTCAAAGGAAATCACCTGTTTCTATTTATAGATACATGTACTTTTTCAATTTAAAATCAAACTACATGTATGTAATCATTTGTGGACCACTGTTATATTTTTATAGTTGCATGTTTGAAACATGACAGTAATATTACTTGTTCAATATTCTTATTCTAAATAAAATCGTTAGAATTTTTTTAAAAAATAAAACAAGCAAGCAGCTGTCATGACTTTTGGTCATTAAAATAGTTTAAGACAGATTTTTCCCAAAATACTTTTAAGGTGTTATGTTGTATTATATATCTCTTACATTATTTATACATGCATTATAAAATAATAAAAGAAAACATGGGAAAAATGGACAGAGAGGAAAAAATAAAATAGTAGACAAGAAAAACGCACAGTGAAACTCCAACTCATGATCATGATGCCTTCAATCCAGCAAACATACCACTAAGCCACGAAGTCGTGAGAATCAAATGGATAATTTTAAGACAGATTGTTGAATCTTCAAATAATTGAAGAAGAAAAATAAATACATATTTTCAACATTTTCAATATGAAGACCATCTTTAACCAAAATTATCTAAATGTAATGATGTACAGTCATATCCAAATAAAATTATTCAGAAATGATTTAAGGGTGGTCTTTAGCTACAGTTTGTCATTGTTTAGGGGGATACTTCAGTATTTACTATATTCTCCGTATAAACTGAACGATTTTTATATCTATCATATGAGGAAACTATTAATATTTGAATATTTTTTGTGTGATTTGTGTTAAGGCGTGTATAAACTAACATTGTATGACAAAATTTTGGTAAAACAATGTATTTAAAAAATTACTAGAGTAGGCGAAATTGGCTATCAAATGCGCTATGGCTCGTTTTTATGCCATTTGAGAACACAACCGATCGAAAGCAATGGAATTCCCCGTTGCTATATTTGGAAACAAACTCAGATCGATCATATTCGGGTCTCCTTGTCTGTCTGGGGTACCCTAAATAATATTGGATAAAATCACCCGTGATGTGCCGAATGGATCGAAAGTAATAGGAATCCCCCTTTTCTATATTTGGAAGCATCCAGTAATCAAGGTAATTGATGGCATGAAATTCCTGAATTCGGTTCAAATTATTCAATATTGTAAGTATTCTGTTCGTTTATATTAAATGTGATAGTTATCAAATATTATGCTTATGATATTTATGCTGGAAATCAATATAACTAACATTTGGCAGATTTATCGAGCATAACAGACCAAAATTCCAGCAAAAATTAAACGTTGCGATGAATCCATTTGAACTGATGTGAATTGTGCAATAAAAATTAATTCATGGTTTTTGAATAAATGATAAAATAAAGTTCTAAACCAATTCGAAATGTTGAGTTATTTCCGATCAGAACAAGGCAAACATCAATTTTTTGTTTCTAAAAAAATTAAATTAACACAGAAGCTCGGGTGTACTTTTAAAAGCAAATATGTGATTATAAAATACTTTTAAGTACTCTATCTGTCCATTCTTTAATTTAACTGTTAATAGATATTTAAAAATTTTTCCAATTTAATCATCAAAAACGGTAATTAGATTCTTTAAAAATAGATCTACATCTACATCTACATATTACAGCGTTCCATCAGCCATGATGATTATACGCTGGCCCTGCGCAAACGGACCTCTAATTTTAATTATAAAACGTATGTGAAAAAAAGGAAACTAAGTGCCATAGAAGGTATAAAAAAACCTAGTGCAATGAAAAACAATTTACAAAATTGTGCATGAAAAATGTGTATTTACATTGTGTTCTACTTGTTTTTATAAATATAAGAGTTATGGGACATAGCTTGGGACCAGAGTTCTGAACTGGTCCAGGGAGGCCGCTGCCACCACTGAGTGTGGGAGAGAATTCCACAAGGTTACTGTATGGGGAAAGAAGCTAAATTTATAATAATCCGTTCGTGTACTGAAGGTCTGAAAGTGGAGAGGACTAGTATTACGTGTAATGGTCGTTATCTGGGGTACTAAATAAAGGTTTTGATCTATAGCCACTAAATTGTGTGTAATTTTAAATAGCATTATAAGTCTACATATATTTCTTCTATTGTCTAATGCTGGCCAATTTAGATGGTGTAACATATCTGAGACACTACTAGTATTGTGGTATCTATGTGTGACATATCTTGCAGCTCGTCTTTGAACATTTTCTAGTTTATCTTTAAGTTTTTTTTGTATGAGGTGCCCAAACTGAAGAACAGTATTCGAGGTTAGACCTGACCATTGATTTATATGCCAAAGATTTAGTTTCTTCATTTTTTATTTGCAAATTTCTTTTTAGAAAACCCAGTATCTTGTTGGCCTTAGAAGTTATATTATTAATATGCGGTTCCCAGGACATGTTGTAGGATAATGTTACCCCTAAATATTTTGCTGTCTTGATAGATTCTAATGTATGTCCTTTCAGATTGTAGGTGTATTTTACTGGTGTGCGAGATCTGGTAATACTAAGTGAATTACATTTTTGAGGATGAAATTGCATTCCCCAGATATGTTCCCAATTAGCTAACGAGTCAAGATCTTTTTGAAGAATTACACAGTCATTTTGATTATGAATAGGTCGATACAGGATACAGTCATCGGCAAAAAGCCTTGTATTTGATGTGACAGAAGATGGTAGGTCATTTATAAAGATTAAAAAAAGAAGGGGCCCAAGGACTGACCCTTGAGGAACCCCGCTGACCACAGGCATTGGACTAGATACCTCACCATCAAGGACAACCTGTTGTACTCTGTTGCTGAGAAAAGCAGAAACCCACCTCCAGGTGTTACCACGTATTCCATAGTTATCCAACTTTCTTACACCTTATCGAATGCCTTTGAGAAGTCCAGTATAATCAAATCAGTTTGAGTGTTTGAGTGTAGATTTTCCAATAATTCATGGCTAAGAGTAAGTAGCTGAGTTTCGCAACTTCTCTTAGCTCTAAATCCATGTTGACAGTCTACTAAAATATCATATTGATCTAAATGATTCAAAACGTTGCTGACAACAATATGTTCAAGAATTTTACAACAAATGCATGTTAATGAGACAGGTCTATAATTACTAGCCAAATATTTTTCCCCCTTTTTGAATATAGGAATGACATTTGCTTGACACCAGTCTGCAGGTACCTCCCCTTGTGCCAATGAGATGTTAATTAAAAATATGTGCAAGGTGTGGAGCGAATTCAGATGAATATTGTTTAAGGATGCGAGCTGGTATTTCATCTGGCCCTGTGGCTTTGCTAGGATCTAATTTATCTAATAATTTTTGTGTGCCATTTACAGTTATGTGTATATCTTGCATGGATGGATAATTGTCATTCAACTGTGGTATATGTTCTTGATCATTTTCAGGTGTGAAGACTGAATGATATTGTTTATTAAGAATTTCCGCTTTCTGTTTGGTATCATCAATGAGTATCCCTTCAGATCTTAAAGGGGCTACTCCTGAACTGTATTTTTTGGTATTGCTAGTATAATTCCAAAACTTTTTCTGTTTTTGTGAAGTCTCTATATTTTCATCATAACAAATAATATTCTCTAAATAGGTCCAATATGCTTTCCTTGTTTCCCTTTGTAATTGATGTTTTATGTCTTTGTATTTCTTGGTACTTGTGCTGTTTGTATGTTGTTTCATATTTTTGAAGAGTTTGTTTCTTTTTCTAATTAGTGATTTAATTTTCCTGTTTATCCAAGGCAACCTTTTTTTTGAATTGTTTATCATTTTAGATGGGATGTTTTCATTCATGATATCCAATACTTTGGTTCTAAATTCACCCCACAAATTGTCTATATTCTGATCTTGTAATGGATTTTGACTGTTTATGTTCATGTTTTGTATATTCTCTTTGATTTTCTCTGTGTTTGCTTTATTGTAGAGATAGATTTTCCTAGGTGGTTTTTTAACTTTTCTTGGTTTTAAACTAGCTTCTATGTAAACTATTTCATGGTCAGATATACCAGGTATAACTTCTACATTGTTCACAAGGGAACTGTTGGAAGTGAAAAAAAGATCAATTGTTGATTGTGATGTAGCTGTTATATGTGTTGGTTTAGTAACAACTTGTTCAAGATAATTATCCTGGCAGATATCTAACATTTGCTTACACTGTTTTGTATTCTGTGAATTTAGTATGGTAGAATAAGTTGTCCAATCAATACCTCCCAGGTTGAAGTCCCCCCCCCTAACCACAGATGTGAGTTTTCACTTTGTCTTATTCTTTGAATGGACTTTTCAAGGTGAGTGAGATATTCCTCTTCTGTATGTTTTGGTGGTTTATAAAAACTACCTATATACAGGTCTGGTGACCCTATCACTTGCAACTTGACCCACAGTTGTTCACTAGTGACATCTGACTTCAGATCAGTAGGTTCCGAACTAATGTATTTATCTGACACAAGTATAAATACCCCACCATGCGAGTCACTTTTGCGATCATTTCTGTAGCATGTGAAACCACTTGGGAAAACCTCTGATGATTGAATATCTTTGTGCAGCCATGACTAATTACCTATGATAATATCTGGTTTAGTTGATTCAACAAGATTTTCTAAGTCTGCTTTTTTATTTCTGACAGATTGACAATTAATAACTATCACTCTTAAAGGTACATCTGATCTTTTAAACTTAGTGTAGTTTGGTCGTGTGTTTAAATTTTGTACAGGGGAGGATGTTGCTGTTGGACTTCCTATACTTCTGTCATTAAATGATGAGTCATTTAGATGTTCATAAATATTTGTACTCAAAAATGAAGATGTGTCAAATATGCACGTTGAAAAATTTGGAAGGCCACAAAGATCACATTCCCATGATGCATTATGCAAACCCTGATAGTGTAATGTGTTCATGCCTAGACATTCTTTGTGGTACCATACGCTGCAAGAATCACAACAGACACCTGCAGTTTTCCATGTGACAGCTCTTTTACAAGAGCCACATGGGTACTTAGGTGTCCTTGGGCCAGGATTAGGTTCTGGTGCATATGAGTTTGCTAACAAGATGGCACATAAGTAGAGCAAGACTTGCTTTTCTGGTTTCCAGATTTTACAGTTAGTGTCTCTAATAATAAACAATGTTTCCATGGACACACTGATACCAAAAGTATTTTTAGATGCAAACCTGAGTGTTGTTTGGGGGGTGATTGTTCTATCTTCTGTAACAAATTTAACTGAGTACAGCTTCTCCCTTGGGACAAGAGTCTCAGTCCCAAGGTATGAGGCTAGAAGATTAAGCAGCAAGTAAAAGGTTATAATAGCCTGAAATTTCATTATCAGCAGGTAAAGATTAGCTGAAAATCCAGATTGTAATGTGGTGCACGAAACAAGAAACATAGGAGAATCTATGACAGACAAAAATAGATATATTAAGACAAAAATCGAAATGAAAACAATTAGGTTTCACATTTCTTAATTGTGAAACAATTTTGAATTTTCGAGTTGTACTAGTAAATATTATCCAGTTGTTGATTATTTTCGAGATCAATATGTTGAATTATCCACCGTAGTACAATATTAAGCGAGTCATAGGGGCGAGATTTATATTGTACTGAAAGTTTCGCTCATTCTTAATTTAAGTGGTAGTTTATATTATTCACGAAGTAATGCATAATATTTATAGAAATATTATTATATGGGCAAAATGTCAAAAATATTCGGGCAAAATGACAAAAAATGTTTTTTTAATTTAATGAAAGACAAATTTGCTTTTAATAAATAAAAAGTGAAAAAAGATTAAGTTTTATGTAAATGTGTATTTCAGAGATCGAAGTATCAAAGATAACGTGAGATGATGGGAGATGCACCTAGCCCCTCGGTGTTGTACTTTAATCCAAAGAAATCTACAGAAAATTTTGCCCGACTCTGTCAGTTCCTGGTGACAATCTGTTGTGACGTCATGCGGGACATTCTATGTCAACATATAAAACCTGCCAATTTAAGAATGGAATTGGACAAAAATAAATCAAAATTAGAAAAAATAACGAATAAACAGGAAAAAGACTTGCTGTATCCTCCACATTCATCTTCCAGTAGTGTTCCGCAAATAAGATTCAGAGATCTGGATTTATCATTACTCTACAAGATTTTGCGCAATCTATGCAATATTCCGACACATATAGCTGGTTGGGGAAATCCACCTCGTCAATCAGACTTTTCTTTAGCTGCATGTATAGAAAGGATCCGCATTTTACGTAATTCCATCTCTGGACACTCTACCAATGGTACTGTTGATGACATGGAGTACGAGGATTACTGGAGAAATTTAAGGACTTCGGTCGTGGAGATTGAGAGAGAAGTCACCGGTAGCGATAGATATGAAAGAGGAATAGACCATTTATATGACTGTGATTTGAACCCGACCAAATCCAAGGAATATGTTGACGAAATTAGGAGATGTTCAGGTGAATAAAAAAAGATTTTTTTGCTTGTATATGCACTAAATTTGCCAAAATTATTTGCTTTTTATTTAAGGAAAAAAAATTCTCACATCTAATTTTATGCCTTTTTAGGAGAAATGAAAATTAAAAGAGGTAGGAACAAATAACACACCATTTCATAAGTAAATATCAAGCTTTTTTATTGTTAAAAAATTTTTAAGTTTCATTTTTAATTTTTTTTTCCTTTGAATTTTAGAAAGAATTTATCTTGTTGAAGGTAAGAACATGTTATTTAATGACCCAATATTTGAATTAAAACATAACATGATCAATTGCATATGTGTAAATACTTACAATGTTGAGCAGTAATATATTATAATTTTGTTTTCTCTCTTTTCATAATAAAATAACAGAGGAAGTAGAGACTAAGAGAGGTAAGTAAACGAAAGAAAGTGTTCCTTAAAAATATATAATGGAATTTCATTAACATCACATGCTATTAAATAGTAATTTTTGCATTCGGGAATGTTCTTTCATCTTCATAAAATAAGACTACTTTTCATTATATTTTTCCACCTGATAATAATGAAACGGAAAGCCGTTTTCTTATACTTTCATTATAGCTAAAATTATCGCCCTTTTTATTTTTGATTACTGATAATGTGCATTAAAAATAAATACTTAATTAGTGTTGAATTCGAATTAAAGTTGTCAATTATTATCATTGTATGTTACTTAAGTTGGGTTACTAAAGATTGGTTGATTGAAAGCTTGATTAATGTTTTAATTAGTTTGTAAATAAATAATCACTATGTATTATAGATGGTGTTAGGATATATAGGGTTTTTACTGGCATATCTAAGATAGAGAGGTTCTAGAGGTAAAACTCGACAAATCTTGTTAGTGCAAGTAAGTGTGTGGATTTCCCTGCTTATATTGTACTGTGATAAGTGATATGTGTGCGGTCATCCCTGCTTATTACTTGACAGAGTGTGTGGTCATCCCTGCTCTGTAATTGGCATCTCTTAGCAGCAAGTGTGCGGACATCCCTGCTTGTTGCTGTGCAAGATCAGGTGTGTGGACATCCCTGCCTGCATCTTGTGGTAGAGCATTGGTGTGAGGACATCCCTGCCAGTGTCTCTAGGCTAGAACCGTATAAGTGTCAAGTGTGCGGTCATCCCTGCTTGTCACTGCGCAAGGGCAAGTGTGCGGTCATCCCTGCTTGTCTCTTGTAGAAGTGCGCTGGTGTGTGGACTTCCCTGCCAGTGTCACTTGTTCGCTACCAGTAAAGACCTTATATACGCAGTATCGAGTGATTAAGACTGCGCATTGTACATATTTGCAGCATCTCAAGGCTATCCGTTTTTATCACGGGTACGAGCCTGCGGAGGTTCACAGGCAGTGACCTCCCTTGCACGTTACATAAAATTTGGTGGCAGCGGTGGGATTCCTTGAGATAGCGGCGTGACTGAAGACGTAGACAAAGAATTATCTCTGATAGAAGAGAGGCTTGCTGAGCTTAAGGAGGAAAGCATCAGGAATAGAGGTTTCAAGTCGTCGACTCCAGTGACCCCGCGTAAAAAAGGCAAAGTAAGAGACTCGGGTGTTGGCGAATCTCGCATCTCCGGAGAATTGCGGCAGACAGAAGAAAAGTCATTAGCGCTTGAACATGATGGTGCGCTAACCCAGCGCGCACCTATCCTTGAAGAAAATTCTGTAGGACAATCTCTCAGGGACATGTTTAGAGAAACCGGAGAAAGGCTCCGCGATTACATTCATTCAGAGTCTCCTACCAGATTCGATAGAGATGCGGCGCAAAACGACAAACATTGGAGTAGACGTCGTCCTGAAGAACTTCACAAAGACGATCAAGACGATTCTCTTCTCCCAGGAATAACAAGAAGGAGATCCAGAATTAGATTTGCAAGTCCTCATAGCGGAGACGACGCGCTAGCAGAGTTTCCAGCGCAAAGACAAATGATAAAGCCGGCAACGTATGATGGCAGTGGTCCCTGGTTGGATTATCATGCGCATTTCGAGGCATGTGCGGAAATAAGTGGATGGAAATATCATCAGAAAGGATTGTATTTAGCTGTTTCTCTTTGGGGAAGTGCGCAAGGAGTATTAGGTAGCATGCCAAAGGGGACAAAGCCCGATTATCAAACACTTGTTAAAGCCCTTGAGGACAGATTTGCACCCCCGAGTCAAACGGAGCTATACAGGGAGCAGATGCGTGAGCGGCGCCAAAAAGCTGGAGAATCTCTTCCGGAGTTAGGACAGGCCATTTGCAGACTTGCCAACTTAGCCTACCCCACTGCGACAGCTGAGATTCGGGAAACGCTGTCTAAAGACCAATTTGTGGACGCATTGGTCGACTTGGAAATGCGCATCCGCATAAAGCAGGCGCGTCCTAAACATCTTAATGAAGCTATTCAATTGGCTGTCGAATAGAAGCTTACAACAGAGCTGAGAAAAAGAACTATGCGCGCCCAACTACCGTTGAATCCGCGGAAGGAAGAACTGTCTCAATGCTTGAGGAATTAAGCGCAAAGTTTGAATCTATGCAGAGAGAACTCAGAAAAATGAAGGCAGAGCGCAATGAAAATTCACAGCAATCCCGACTATGGAAAGCAAACCAAACATTGGGGACACAGAAAAGATGTTACTTTTGCCGTAAGCCGGGACATTTACGCAAGGATTGTAGAGCTTTTCAGGCGCAAAGGAAAGCTAAACCTCCACTTACGTCCTCTACTAGAAACCAACCCGAAAATCATGGTGCAAAGACAAAGGATGCCAAGTCTTCTAGCAGAAGTGTGAAAACCGGAGAGAAAGCTTCCATTGGATCAAGTCCAGTCGGAATGGACGCTGGCCTATTCATTGAAATGGACGTCTGTGGCGTGAAGGCGAAGGTATTGGTAGACACAGGTGCGACAGTCAGCCTAATATCTACAGAACTGATGAAAAGGATCCTAGAAGAGGACCGACCTAGGCTTGACTCATTCAGTCGTGATATACTGGATGCTGGTGGCAACTGTCTCCAGATCAGCGGTAAGGGAACCTTTCCAATACAGATAAGAGGGCTCTCTTGCAAACTGGATGGTGTGGTTGCAGAACTAAGCAATGATGGACTTATGGGTCTTGATTTTCTGGAAGAAAACGGATGCGCAATCTATGTGACCAAGAAGAAAATGCGCATCAAGGGAAAACACTACGACCTGATAAAAGAAGGAAATTATGGGTGTTATCGCATCGTAGCACCGAACACTGTGACACTTCCAACAAATCAAGAAGTAATCATAAAAGTGAGAGTGTGTGCGCCGGAGGACAAAAGCATTCCAATGATGCATGGTTTGGAGGAACAAAATGAAAAGTTCGTATCGACAGGTAGTCTTGTAGGGAGGACCTTAGTCAAAGAAAGTACAGTTGAACATGGGACCAGAAAGTCGAACCATTTACAGTGGCACTCACATTGCGGAAATGTCATCCGTCTATTGAAGCGCAGTAGTACCAATCTGACAGAGGACCAGATATCTAAAGTGAGAGACATTTTGCGACAATACCCCCATACGTTTGCAGTCAGTAATTCTGAATAAGAAACGACCAACTTGGTTGAGCATGGAATTGATGTTGGCAATGCGCACCCCATAAAGAAACCTTTGCAACGTGTCCCTTTCCATGCTGCCGAAGAAATAGACAAGCATGTAAATGATATGCTGAAAGATGGAATTATAGAGCGCTCCTCTAGCCCCTGGGCAGCAGGTGTTTTAGTGCGAAAGAAGGGTGGCAGTACTCCCTTCTGTGTTGACTACAGGGAATTGAATGGACCTACCATAAAAGACGCTAACCCATTGCAGCGGATCGTTAATGCGCTGAATAGCCTCTCTGGAAATGCATGGTTTCCGACACTGCAATTGTGTTGGGCATACTGGCAGATATCTTTGAAAGAAGAAGACCCAGCAAATACAGGGGAAGCGCTTGAGGCAAAAGACGTATACAAAGAGAATGAAAGAATTGTTCATACTGAAGATAAAGTTGAAATCAAGCGCATGCGCCATCCTCCCCGCTGGCATGAAGATTATGTTTTATTAGAATCACCTGAGCCAGCAAGCGAACCTTATTGGTTCTATTTACCATTGGGTTAAACAAAATATTGCATTTTGTTTTGCGTAATGGTAAATGTGAAGGGTTACTGTAATTACTATTCTGTTAAGTAGAATATTTATACATATTTTATTTTGCAGAATGGGGAATACAGTGTAGATAATTGTGTTTGTAAATAGCGTTTGGTAGATTTTTTTAATGCCGTTATATGTTTTCTTATGCGAGGACGCATAAAGCTGGGGTGGGGGTGATGAAACGGAAAGCCGTTTTCTTATACTTTCATTATAGCTAAAATTATCGCCCTTTTTATTTTTGATTACTGATAATGTGCATTAAAAATAAATACTTAATTAGTGTTGAATTCGATTTAAAGTTGTCAATTATAATCATTGTATGTTACTTTAGTTGGGTTACTAAAGATTGGTTGATTGAAAGCTTGATTAATGTTTTAATTAGTTTGTAAATAAATAATCACTATGTATTATAGATGGTATTAGGATATATAGGGTTTTTACTGGCATATCTAAGAAAGAGAGGTTCTAGAGGTAAAACTCGACAAATCTTGTTAGTGCAAATAAGTGTGCGGACTTCCCTGCTTATATTGTACTGTGATAAGTGATAAGTGTGCGGTCATCCCTGCTTATTACTTGACAGAGTGTGTGGTCATCCCTGCTCTGTAATTGGCATCTCTTATAATTAGCAGCAAGTGTGCGGACATCCCTGCTTGTTGCTGTGCAAGATCAGGTGTGTGGACATCCCTGCCTGCATCTTGTGGTAGAGCATTGGTGTGAGGACATCCCTGCCAGTGTCTCTAGGCTAGAACCGTATAAGTGTCAAGTGTGCGGTCATCCCTGCTTGTCACTGCGCAAGGGCAAGTGTGCGGTCATCATGGTCATCCCTGCTTGTCTCTTGTGGAAGTGCGCTGGTGTGTGGACTTCCCTGCCAGTGTCACTTGTTCGCTACCAGTAAAGACCTTATATACGCAGTATCGAGTGATTAAGACTGCGCATTGTATATATTTGCAGCATCTCAAGGCTATCCGTTTTTATCACGGGTACGAGCCTGCGGGGGTTCACAGGCAGTGACCTCCCTTTCACGTTAGAATAATTTTTATAACTTTTTGCCAAATTCAAAACTATGTTTTTTATATGAAAAACGTAATCTAAAATACATTACCTCGTAATGTATTATGTTATATACAAAATGTTCGTTTATTTATACATGCAAACAGTTCATGTAAGCTAGCATTCCCATTTAGTTTAAGTTTGTATAATATGACTTTCTAGAGCAATGAAAATTGACTTGCGCCAAAAATATGTAATATCATGAAAAATAATATTTTTATGTAAAAAGCTCTGTATTAAAAATGATAATAAAATTTCGCTTGTCTAATTTTAATGTGCTTTAAAATTTAACATCGATTGTAATAATAACCATTCCTAAAGAAGGTCACCATATTTTTTTTATAAGATTTTTTTTAAAAATTTACTTTTATTACCTGTGTTTATTCATAAACCTAGAGTTGTATAATCCAACTTGGAAACATGTGGTTATCGTGTTTCATAGAGTAGAATTCGTAACCAAGAAAGGAATCTATTTTATCATCATTTGGTTGCATATGCCATAATTCCATTAATTTCAACAATTGTCATCTTGTTTAATGTACCTTGGTATAGGCAGCCATCATTTAATTCTACATTAACTAAATTGACATTATCTCACTGTATGATCTATTTCAGTACGACTTGACACAATATATGAAAGACAAGCAGTTTACGAGGACAGTAATGTAAAATTCAAAGCAAATGTAGAGGCCAGATTAACTGGTAAATTATCCTTTCTTCAATTCTTGTTGAAAAAAGCTTGCATCTTCAAATATCAGTTCTGATATAGCTTGCAAGTGTAAAATTGTTAAGGACAAACGAGACGTTCCTCAAAAAATATATTATCTTTTTCCCAAGATTTTGTCATTGAAGAATTGATACTTTAAAATTTTTACTCACAAATTGAAAAAATTGAGGTACCTTACCAGGCATTTGTGCGAGATACCAGAGGATGGCATTTCTTATACAATCCTTTGCTAAATAAAAAAAACACTTAATTTGTCAAAATCACATTTGTAGTGTTTCAAATTTTTAAAAACAATTCGAAACATGTTTCGAAATAAGAAAGTAATTAAAATTGCGTATAGTTTTCATACATTAAAAAGATCTACAAAACTTATATTTTGGGAACATATCGTCTGACCTTAAGCGGATAAGTTATGTATTCTAAAACTATATTGGATTTTTCTCTATACAATAAGTATTTATTTGCTAGAATACTTAATACTTAAAGCATAATATTTCTCTTTATACGAGGGGCGTTCAATAAATAATGTCATCAGCTCGATGACATACGACATAGAAGTCATATGACATTAAGCTAGACTTTCTCTAATTATTGAATATTTAATGAATTGATAACAGTTTATCTGACCACTTTTCATCGCATAATTTCATTGTGGGAAGCTGGAAAACAAGGGCTACTCGAGACACTGCATTAAAAATGAATGGTCAAGAATCAGTAAACTAGAGTAAAATTAAATGCATCATTAAAACTGCTGTAAAACTTGTTAATTTCCCAAAAATCTATTAACTGAAATATGTGAAATTTACAGCAACTCATGTCTGTTTCATACACGCATGAACAGGTGGATTTCAATTAACAAAAATTATACAATGGGCATCAAAAATGGGTACAGTCCTTGGCAACAAGTACATACAACAACCAATGTATATTAGTGATAATTCAACCAATTATCACTGATTATGTTTTATTGACTTTAAGTTACATAGCAAATTTGATAGACATTATTTTGGGGGTAGTTCACAAGGTTTTAAAGAAACATTTGATTGTAAAAAAATTTAATACTTATTGGTCACCCTTTATTTTAAAAAATGAGTGAAAACGAGCGTGTAGAAAATCTAAACAATTTTGTTTAAAAAATCAAAAATTGTTCTTATCCACGTTTTTCTGAAATTCAAACAGATCATGAAACTTGAATCCATTTTGAGTTAAACCCTCAAAACAAATTTAGAATAATATGTACTTGACAAAACTGCAAAGGCCTGAGAAGAGCAAAAATTTTCAAGAACACAAAAACAGTTTTATACGCTATTTTCTTAAATATTAGCGGTCTTGTTGTTCAAATACATATATAGGGAGGCAGTTCAATTTCTGGAGGAGTTTAGTAAGCAGAATATTTGCCAAAAAATTGGAAGGTTTATGAGAGGAAGGAAACAGAATGAGGAATCCACTGCATTACATTTCTTCCTGGCAGCGTCCAAACACACAGGCCATGAAAAGTAAACGAGTTTTGGGGTAAACAGAAAGTTAGTTTTGTCACATCAACAATATTCGCCAGATCTTTCAATCTTTGACTTGTTTCATTTCCCAAATTTAGGAAAACACCTTTCAGAAAGAAAAAAATAAGTACAGCAAATCATATGATCTACCATTTTCCAGTATACTATGTTCTATAAAGAATCAGAAATTGAATAAAAATGTTACGGACATGTGTTTTAACTAAAAGAGAATATCTTAGTTAAATCATTAAGACAAAATCATAGAAAAACGCTTTTTTGGTTCTTCCCGAGCCCTGATGACATTATTTATTGAACGCCCCTCGTACATCAGTATTAAACGATTGATACAGTAACTTTAAAAATGTCATGAATTTAATTTTCCAAAAAATACATGATATGATTATGATGTTCTTATTAAAAATGAAACTCTTCATTTTTTTCATTCCTCATAAGAGATTGCTGAGAGTCTAACAGCTATTAAATCTGAGACGTGTTTGCTGAAAGGGTTGAAAACGACAGAGTCGATATTACAACACGACAAGGGTTTGTCATCAAATAGTAATAGTACGTATAATAATGGCATCCAATTTGTTGATCTGATCCATGTGGTTAATGAAATCAAAACCAGAGGCCCAAGGGACTTAATGGTATTAAGAGTTAAATTTAATACTGTAAAGGGTCTATAGATTGAATATGAAATTAATGATAAATGAAGATTTGTCGCCAAAAAGCAAATGAAATAGAATGATTTGGAATCATCAAAATAATAAATTAAGTGCCCAGTATTATATAATTAAGTTGATCTATTTACTTGCCTGCACTTGCCCTCACCCCCATCTGTCACTATGCCCATGCAGACTAAATAATACAATAGCTCTTGAGCACTGCCAGTTAACCGATGTCATTTTCTATATATATTTCATTGGTTTCATCTAGTCCTTAAAGAAAATTCAATTGTAAAGATATTATTATTAAATATTTCTCTTCCGTTTTGATGTGCCTGTTATTTACTAGTCTACTTAATAATCAAAAGTAAGTATTTATATTAAAAACTATAAAAATCTCTTTCTTTCTAAAATTCCATTCATCAATTAACCTTTCAGGTAAATAGCAAGCAGGGATACTTATAACTTTTTCAGTAGAATGCAAATCATTTAATATCACAGAGTGATGTAGAATTTCAAAAATCTGGTAAAATACCCTTGCTCATTACAATTTTACATACTCTGGTTGCTGGCTAGATACCTAGGAGCAGAAAGGAAGATTTTCAAATTAATAATACATTTTCACTATACATTGCACTTGGTCCCATCCTTACACCAGAGTCCCCTATCCAGAAGCCAAGAAATTCACAAGAGAACCCTTTCTTATCATAAATATGTTCTTAGTTCTTTTGATAATTATCCACGGAGGGACAGAGAAGATTTTCAAAGAAATAAAGTATTTTCACTCCATATTCGAAAGAGCCCCACCCTAATTAAGACAAAAACCCTTGATGAAGTACTTATATATGAATTTCAAACTCTTTGAAAAGGCATCCTTGTTCATCATAACCATGCAATAAGTTTGTAAGCTAAATACTCAAGGGGAACAAAGAAGATTTCCAAAGCCATAGTGCATTTTTACTACATATTTAACAATTCCCCACCTGAATCTCCTGGCCACAAAAATTCAAAAAAAAAATTGGGAAAGGCATCCTTGTTCATCATAACCATGCACTTAGTTCAAGTGCAAAATACACAAGAGTAGAGGCGTGTTGCAACCAGTATTGAAAAAACGACCACTATTGAAATGATTATATCAATAGTGGTTGAGAGTGTATTTAAATACCAAACATAGGTAATAACTAGGGATGGCAATTGGTAACCGGTTAATCGATTAATCGGTCGGAACGATGCTAATCAGTTAGAAAATCCGTAATCGGTTAGTCGGAAAAAATAAAATATATGTAAATTTGAACGTAGTTTTTATCAAATTTATTTTGTAGAAAAGAAACCGTTGCATAAAATTTCATTCAATATTTATCATAATAAAGATGATTTGGAGGTAATTATGTAAATAATGGCTCTCCAGAAGGAAATCGCGGGGCAATAGGTCAGTTTGTAAAGTGTTAATTACTGTTTTTAAAATCATACCGGTTACCCCGACTTTCCTATGATGTTAAATGATTTTAAAAACATCACCGTTAACCCTTTTAATTAGTATGTCTATATTTTGCCGTTATCTTTTAAATCAAACAATTAGAAAGAACAAAGAGTTGAGACAAAGTTTTGATTATGGTGACAATGCAGAATGAACTTCTTTAACTTCTTTGAAAATTATCTATGTTTGATTTCTCAGGCACAATTCTTAGTTTTCGTAATTTTTTTTCTGATCTATTGAAATTAAAATAAAATTTAATTTTAAAGTTAAATTCCCTGATTAAGATTGATAAACAGAATATAACTTGTAAAGCATTTTATAGCTTCTTGTGTATTTGAAAAAAAATGTCAAAATGTATATCTTGATACGACTAACCGGTTAATCGGTCGGAACGACTTGCGGTTAACCGATTAGCAATTCTGCAATCGATTGCCATCCCTAGTAATAACCACTATTGAAATACGACCGCTATTGATATACTTATTTCAATAGTTGGTGAGATTCAATTCAATAACAAACGTAGGTTGCAACCACTATTGAAATAATGTTCACTTTTGAAATAAGGATTTCAATATGGATAAAATTATGGTTTTAGTTTTGAAGTATTCAGCAAAAATCAAAATAATTATTTGAATTACCTTTGAAATTATAATTTCGATAACTATCCAAATCTTCATTTAAGGACAGATGATACAAACAAAATATGGATGCCTGGATTAGTATATATTTTTTGATCTGATTTCATTGAAATATGCAAATAAAAAAATTCTAGAATATAAATAAATTGTAAACCTTCTGTGATATTCAAACCTGTTATAAACTTTAATTATTAATCTATAGATTTTCATTCCAAATCCAATTTTTGTGAAAGTTTGGATAAAAAAAAATAAAAATTACGCGGTAAAACGTTTTTTTGATATAATCATTTCAATAGTGGTCGTATTTCAATAGTGGTTACTAACTATGTTTGCTATTGAAATGCACTCTCAACCACTATTGATATAATTATTTCAATAGTGCTCGTTATTTCAAAAGGAGGTTTCAAAGGATTAATACATTTTTTTCTATTTTTTTCAATAGCGCCCCACCCTTACATCAAATGAAATTTACAATTTTGGAAGAGACACCTTTGCTATTCATAAATATGCACTTGATTTTTTCAATATCCAGATTTAGAGATGATTTTCAAAGAAATAATGCATTTTTACCACAAAAAAAATCAATAGTGCCTCATACTAGCACCAAAACCCCTTATCCAGTGACCATGAAAATCACAAATTTATAAAAGGCACGTTTACTCTTTACAATTAATTAAACCCCCTTCCCCGCTATCACATATTTTAACGCATACACCATTTTCTATTTCTAACGCAACAAGCATATACCCTTTCCCCCCGATCATGCATTTCACTTTAAAAGTTTATTTAATATTGAATTCAATGCCAGTTTTCTTCTATTTCATACTTGCTTAAATCTCATGAAATCGGAAAAATTATTTACTTTTTAAGATATTACTTCATAATATTATTTACGCTAAATTTTAGAGAAATTTGTACCACGCTATAATGTGCCTGTGGGGAAATGGTAAGGTCATATTTCTATGAGCAGAAAAGATTTTCATAGAAATAAGCACTTTCACTTTATCATTAACAGAAATTAAACCACTCTCTCCACAGAACCCTTCGCCCTGGGGCAAAAAATGTTACGATTTTTAAAAGGCACACTTTATCAATTAAAACAATGCACCTATTTTATATTTTTTATATAGGAAGGGGAAAAGAAGATTTTTAAAGAATTTATGCATTTTACTGTATGGTCATTAGAACCCCACTCCAACTCTAGAACCCTAAGGCCATGAATTTCAAAATGTTGGTAGATAGCTCAGTTTATTTTAATGGTTCAAGCCCCACCCCTAAGGCCTCAGGGGCTAGCACCATGAAATTCAAATTTTTCTCTTCCATTTTCTAATACTAGACGATCAGTGTGCCAAAATTGGTTGAAATTGGTTCTGCAGTTCTAGAGATGAGGCTGAAGTTGACAAAAGTGACATATGACGTAAATGTCGGTAATATATGTGAAATAATTAAGAGTATAGATGAGAAATACTTAAATCGTACTATGTTACAGGCATGAGTATTCTTGATGAGATTATTACGAGTGATACAACAACATACACAATAAGCAAATCAACAACAACCATTAAATTTAATTCTGCTTTACCTGGAATGGCACCCGTCTCTCTATTCTCCATGCATTCGACAATAAACAACAAATGTTGGCTGTTGGTTCCTCATACCTCACCCAAGTCGCCACTTTTGCCTGATACACTACAGTGTTCGAGACTGTATCTTCTCAGTGACATCGGTGTTATCAAAGAAATCAAAATACCAGAGGAATACGACATTGGATTAATCTCAACTCAGGTTAAGGCCAATGAAGAGAGCGAGGCTGTGTTTGCTTATAAACATTCATTAGTAGCTATTGGTGAGAATGGTGTATTCCGCAAGATGTTTGATTTTGATGTGACGTATAAACACAAAAGTATATGCCGTATGCATTCTGGTAACTATATCATAACTAAGGTTCAGACATATCCAATATTCAATGAATACAATAATGAAGGATCTCTCCTGAGTAGTTGGGAATTACCTGAAGACATAAGATTACAGCATTCTTACTTGAGAGTATATCAAAATAGTAACAGAGACATGATTCTCACGAATCATCACCCCTTTGGCATTACCAAACATTTATGCATTGAAGAGGAATTTCGTAATGTCAAATGGACTTTGGAATCGGAAGAGCAAGGAATAATTATCCCGGTTTTGAACAAAAAAGGTGAGTTTCTTTATGGACATGGACGGTCCATTGACTTAATGAACAGTGAAGGTGAAATTGTCGATACCATTTATAAAACACCAAAAGATGTTAAGATAAGAAACCTTGCTTACAGCAGTAATGGAACGATATGGGTCTTGTACAATTCTTCTGAAATTGACATATTCAAAGTGGAAATCCCTAAAATCCTTTCTGACGATAAGGGATTTGGTTGTGTTCATAAATGATTGCGCCCATGACAAAAGGGTCCTTATGCAATTTTTGCTAATACAGAAAAATAACGTCATAAACGTGTGACGTTGCAGACTGACGGTGAACTTCGACGCAGACTTTAAAGTTTTTTTCTTCGAATCTCTTATGTATAGCTTTTTTGGCATGAAATAATTTGATAACGAATTTCATTTTTTAAAAACAATATACATGTAAAGTGTCTACCCTATAATCATGATTAAATAAATCAAACTTTAAAAATGTTGTTTTGTCTTATTTTCTTGTTGCACAAAGACACTCCAATTAAAGAAATTAAAACAAGCAAAAACATCCAAATGAAAATAAAAATGTTCTAAATGTTCTAACTTAAATAGAGCTGGTCAAGTAAATCTGATGAGAGAGAGAGAGAGAGAGAGAGAGAGAGAGAGAGAGAGAATATAAAAATTTTGTCTTAAAGATTTGTGTAATGTAAATATTTAAAAAGGAGCTACCGTATAAGTAAAATTTTTAGCAAATATTTAATTTTGGCATTATTAGCGAGGGTGCTGACATCGCTAAAATTGAATATCGCTAAAACTTATTTGCATATTATTTGTAATAGCTTCTTAAGTTAACATTTCAATATAGCTAAAATTACTTTTTCATATACACAATGTAAGTATAGAATTGAAAAGAATTGTTCACTAGTACCGAAATTATTGCAGCCCGGAGGACCGGGCTGCTCTATACATATAAGTTTAAGTGTTGGTATATGGGGATTGGGGTGGGAGTAGTTATTCAAAATTAAAGGTTTTCTAAACATTGAAAAGATTGTTAATCAGAATGTTCTTTCCCTTTATAAATTACGAGATACATAATATATTTACTTCCATAAAGTGATTCTCTAAAAATAGATATGTTTTTCACATTTAATATATAAAGTTGTTTATCATTTACTATCGAAAAAACGACAGGTCCCCTTTTTTAGATCATCGAATTTTACTTCTCGCATAAAAACGTACTATGCACACTTCGTGTTTTATATTCTAAAATTGAAAATTAAATACATTTTTGAATATAGGTGATGCATGTGTCTAACTTCAATTTATATTTTATGCAGCCAACATTTACTCGAGGAATTGAAGTTTAAAATGGTATCGTTTTTGTTTGACATTTATCCGACTATAAGTTTTCCAAATATTCGCGACTATCGTCTCCATCAATTAGACGCATGCCTTTTCACACGTATCGAAGCGGTTTGATGATCAAAGGTCATTTCCATTGTTTACTTTATATATTTCCCGGGCGACAATTGATGGTTACATCAATGTTTTCTTGTCTGCATTTGATTTATGAATATCCCATTGCAGCAAATCGTTTCACTTTCTGTCACTGTCAACAATGTCGGTTCGCATTTCCTCGAATCAAAACAAAACGTAGCCTATGAGATTTTTAAAAATATCAATGTGCGATTTGATATAAATTGAAATAGAAGAAGAGTTTGTTTGATATTGTGAAGTTAATGTGGACGAATACGGAATTTTCATTTTAACTTTAGAAGCAACGACATTGAACGAATGCGTACAATATCATGAGGGGTGTACATCTATGCAAACGTCGATGTATCCCCACGGCCACATACTGTCTCGTTTGAAATAATGACATGAAGAAACTACAACTATTCCATTTATATCACAGAAGAGTTGAACATACACCATTTTTTATAAATAAAATTAAAGAAATAAAATTAAAAATCAACATATTCAAGTTCAACATAACTTGAATTCGTATCCAGGTTTCATGTGATATGGAATGCATAACGCATACATATATGGACTAAACACTAAAATCCTTCAATAATTTTTTCCTGTTACATATAAAAACAGTAGTCAATATTTATTCTGCATTCATGAATTTAAAAACAAATGCATACTTCCCCGATTCAAATGACGAAATACTAGTATATTTGCACTGTTAACGACGTTTCGTCAAACGCTAATTGTCTTTGACGTAAAAAAGGAATTAAGGGGTGGGGGTGGTAGGGGTATTCAAAAATTGCATTTAAGTACGCTTTACATATAAGAACTTTTAAATTTGTAAGTTAATATATTTTTGAAGCAAAAGCAATATTCCAATTTGATTTTTTTTTAAATGTTTATTTTTAGATTCATAGCAAAGTGATCGACCCCCGTCTGAAAGACGCGCGGGAACGTGATTTATTGATAAAGGGGGAGGGGGTAATTGATGATGATGATGATTTTCTGCTATTAAATCAAAACTGGTCGTACAAAAATTATACAAAAAAATATGAAGATTATTTTTACTACCAGCAACCTTAAGCAAGTTTTTTTTTTTAACCAAAATTAAACGACAGGTTTTTTCACAAAAAAATTTTGAATTTGAAAAATACACAATTTTCAAGGCTTAGATAATTCATAGTTTTTCAGTTTAAGGTCTTTAAAAGTTGTTTTGATGATATGTTTATCAAAAAGATGACTATGTTTTTGTGTTAAATGGTTAAAGGAATAAGTCAATGAAATTTGACATTTATATCTAATCTGGCTTTTTTGAAAATCAAGGTTTAAGTACATGTAGTTCATTGATTAAAAATTTTCTCTCCTTGTAAACAACTAAAGGGGGTAACTTTTGGAAGTTCCTGTCCAAAAACCACTCGAACGATTTTGTCTTAAATGTGTATACATGCATTAGACATAGTCATGTACTAAATATAAAAAAAAAATAACGAAAATTAAACGACAGGAATTTTTTGGGGTAGGTGTGTTGTACATCCTTAACTGCTAATTCTATTAACCTGAGGATCGGACTACCTTAGACATTTCATGAATAATTTCTAATTTCATACGTATGTGGCGGAGTCATATTTATTTAAAATTATTTTTTTTATCTTTATTAAATAACCTACTGAGCCATTATTTACTTTATGCCATATTTGGTAGTAATCTCCATTTATGAATTCTACTCACGAAATCTCATTGGCCAGTAAGTTTGTACCCCTTTGTTTAACCGGTTTTCTGCTATATATACTGAGGCATGGGCCCATCCCTGTCAGTGCGCGAAATTTAGCTTATTATTACCAGCTGCCCGTTATCACCACTTGAAAGGTAATTTTCTTCGTCTATTAAATTTTTGTATATTTTTAATAAATCCAAGTTAAGCTCTAGTATTTTTCATATTTTTGAAAGAACGGTATTTTAAACTATGAAACTGACGTTTTGCATGGGCTTAGTAAACTTAAATTTTCTTATTTTTGAAGGGAGAGGAAATAAAAATATTTTGTCTCAGTATCAATGTGTATTATGATGTTGTATATATGTTTTTGTATTTGTAGATCTGCCATTGCTTTTTTTTCAATTCCTAATAAATTTATAAACTGAAACTGCATTTTCCATCCCCGCTTGGTTACACGTACCTTTTCAACTTTTGGCTAAATTATTTGGGTGGAAAAGGCACTAAGTGCCAGACACCAATATCGTAAAAGACTGGATAGTTACATGTATAAAAGAAAATAAATTGAGAAAGAGAAAAGAACAATATTTTATATAAATATTAATTACTGACACGTATATTTAATATATATGTATAGAGAAAGGGAGAGAGACTAATTTTTAATCTAAAAAATATAGAAAAAAAATAGAGAAAAAATAGCTCCATTTTATTGATATTTTAATTGATGTTTGCAGCTAAACACAGATATACATCAACTGATCACAAAAAAGTACAATAAACCTAGGTCATGTGATCATGTGATCAATATTTTGTCTGTTATCACACTGTAACAGCTGGTATCGGCTTTATCTGTTTGTAAAAAATAATTTTATAATCCCGGATTTTCTATGTAAAAGTGACACAAGTAAGATATTATATTCTTGTTTATTATAAATTATTCACTTAATTAAGAATTATTTTATTGCTGCTTTATTTACATGAAACTACGACATTTAAAACGCTATAATATGTACAGGGGGTCAGTGGTCAATAGGATAACATAATATGCGTTTTTCTCCGACGTCTCGAACGTAGAACGTCGTGAACATTGACAAGCTAAAATCAAAATTCACGATCACTTTTAACAGAAGCTGTTGCAAGGACTTTTTTTATTAATTGTAAATTTCCCGAAAGATTAAAAAGTCAATTTTAATTATTAGCTTATTTACAAAATGTTCATCTTATTTACAAAGCTAGGGGTAAAAAAATGAAAATATAAACATTAAATCATTATTTTGTGCAAGATATAGTTACAAATTAATGGACCACTCTACCCTATAATGCTTATTTGTACTACTTTATTCAGATGTAAATATGTAACAAAGAAAATTATTCGCACGGTCGTACATTAAGAATATTGTATGTTCAAAAATTTAAATACATGTAATAGGAGATTAAAAATCAATGACTAGAATCCGATCATAACATTGCAAATATTTAGAGGAGTTCAAGGAATTTATAAAATCTTTTAAATTAAGATTTCAAGAAATAATTGTATATATGAATTCTATTTCTTCTTTGGATATATGAAATACATGTACATAAAAAGAAACAAAAATTATTTTTGTGAGTGAATCGAATATATTATATATCAGGCACGTAGCATCGTTTTTTAAAGGGGGGGGGGGGGGCAACCAGGGAAAAATGTTTTTTTGCTTACCTATAAAATTAAAGTTGACAAGCCCAAAAAAGGGGTAATGCCCAAACTCGAAAATCCTATCTCGTAGAAAAAAAAGGGGGAGGGGGGGTAGTGGGCAATTTTTTCCATGGCCAACCTCCTTTTACTTCAATTTTTTGGCTTACAATACTACATTCCCTTCATATCACTTTACGTAGTAAGAAGTGGGGGCCAACCAAGCTTTCAGTGGACATTTTCAATAGTAAAGGTAATGTTGGGAATAAAGTGCCCCCGCCCCCGGCCCCCCTGTTGCTACGTCCCTGGATATGCTATCTAAAATAGTCTAAGTTTCAATGAATCTGAATGCATAACAGATTTTTATTGGCTGAATACTCAGTATATGTAGTAATAATCTTTGTGTTTTAGTCTCAATATGTAAGAGCAGAGTGTGTCCTAATTTTTTACTCTGCCACATTATCCCCCTTTTGCTTTTAAGTTACTTGGACACAGATTTTATTTTATAGAAGTTATTATTTTCTTTATAATATTACGACTTATATATTTAAATATCATTTCACACAGAAATTAATTAAAAATTTTATTTCGTTTAAAAGATATTGAAATTTTAAATTTTTCGACGGGTTTGATTGACATATCGTTGCACTCTCACAAATTTAATTTTAATCTTAATCCTATGGAAAAGTGGCAATTTCGTTTTGTATAAATGAAAAATATTAATACTATGATCCAGAAAATTTAGAGTAGACACGTTCGAAAGCAAAACAAACACACAATATATTGTCAGTCCGTGCAGTTGTGGTAAGCAGACTGTGATAAATATATAAACGATAAAAGATCTCGAGCCCTGTTTACAAAAACTGTGTTTATAACACGAGTGTGCTCGATTTGCTAAACTCTACACGCATCTCTTCGTTCGGAATGACGATACTTGTGAAGGTGTTTTGCTTTCTAACATTTCTACTCTGAAAAAAAATATTTTTCTTGATAAAAGTTTTAATATTTCTCATTAAAACACATCAAAATTGCCACTTTTCCTAAGGATTAAGAATATAAAGTTAAAATTTGTGAGAGTGTGTCAATCAAACACGCCAACATATCTTATGTTTTAATAACTTTTAAACGAAATAAGACTTTTAATTAATTTTTGTGTGAAATGCTATTAAAATATATAATTCGTGATATAATACAGAAAAAATGAGAAAATATTAACTTCAAATCTGTGTCCAAGTACCTTTAATCAACAAAATTTACCTTTAAAAAATCTATCTGATAAAAATTAATAAACTGACAAATATGATTGTAAAAGTATGTTACCGGGAAACTTTGTATGTAATGTATATTTGTTTGTTTGTTTGTTTGTTTAACGTCCCTTCAAAAACGTTCCAAACATATTAAGACGCCACCACTAGAATGTCGCAACAATTAAAGCTATATAATTTAGGGGATCTTCACCTGAATCGACCCAGTGGACACATGGGTTTAAACGATATCATCCTCAGTTTCACTCTCCACGCCAAAAGGTGGAATCAACAAAGAAGTGATAAAGTAGTGATCAGCTCATCAATTCTAAGGAAACGCTTTTAGCACTACTGAGAGAGAGAGAGAGAGAGAGAGAGAGAGAGAGAGAGAGAGAGAGAGAGAGAAGGGGAAAAATATGTTTTTGTTCCAAAAGCTTAAGATTTAAAATGTAGATAAAACAGATGCAGTATATTGTTATTTTAACTGACAGTTGGCAGTTTAACACAGATATTTATCAATTGATCACAAAAAGTACAATTACCCTAGGACATGTGATCAATATATGTTGTCTATTGTCATACAGTAACAGCCGGTATTGGACTCATGTTGGTCCTCCTCCTTTAATCCCGGGATATTTTGTGTAACAATTATAAATGGTACAGGTGAGAAAATAATATTCCTATATATTAAAAATTATTTACTAAAATAAGTTTTCATATTGCTGCTTTATTTATATTTCACATGTATTTAACTTGTAATGTGCACGGAAAGCTACGACATTCAAAAAAATATAATACGGACAGGGGGTCAGTAGATTAAAAATGCGTTTTAATCACATGCACATGTTTTAGACAAGGTATCTTACTCCGAATTATACTTAGTAAACCCTTCCTCAGGAATGCACTCATTTTCAATTTCAGATGAAGTGCACTGGCAAACTTTTGATAACCATTTTCTTCTTATTTATCTACACAACCGTATATAGCTTGCATACCTTTGTTTTCCTGTATCTTCGTAAACGGTGTAAAAAGTCTGCCCGCCGAGTGTAGGGATGAACTCAACCATGTCCATCATCTTCAAATTAAATGTTAGTTTAATTATCTGGTAAAACTGTGTCAATTTAACAGATAACATCCAAAGATATATGTATCATAGTTTACATGTAAGTGAAAATTGAAAGCTTAGTGTTTAAACGATCAACAAGGGAGATTCCCAACTACAATCCATTACAAGAACATTCTTAAGAGTTTCATTATATGCATTAATGTGAAATTTAGGCACCTGTCATAAATAGTAGATATTAGTTTTTTCATACTAAACTATAATTCAATTTACCTTCGATGCATCTTTTTTTTTAAAAAGTCATTTGACATAAACAATTGCTGCAAATTGAACTGCAAACTGACACATCATCTTAACTCAAATAATTTAAGGGGCAGTTTGAAATAATGTACGGAATAATGCTCAATAATTATAAAAATCCCTTTTTTATGGGCACAATATTTTTTTTTTCTTAAATGAAAAGCAACCCGTATTTTTGACAAATAGAAAGTTGGAAAATCAATTTTGATTGACATTAATATATGTTTAGTTTGATAAATATCGTTGAGAATGTTAATACAATTTAATGAAATGCATATTTCAGAGATCAAACTATCAATGAAAATATTTAAACATGGGAGATGCACCTAGACCCTCTGTGTTGAACTCTGAATCAAATAAATCTACAGAAAATTTCGCACGACTCTGTCAGTTCCTGGTGACAATCTGTAGTGACGTCATGAGAGACATTCTCAGCCATTATATAAAGCCAGCAAATCTAAGAACAGAACTGGACAAAAATAGGTCAACATTGGAGAAAAAAACGAATAAACAGGAGAAAGACTTGTTGTATCCTCCACATTCATCTACCAGTAGTGTTCCGCAAATAAGATCCAGAGATCTTGATATCACATTACTGTACAAAATTTTTCGGAATATATGTAATATTCCAACGCATATAGCTGGTTGGGGAAATCTACCTCGTCCATCTGACTTTTCTTTGGCTGCATGCATAGAAAGGATCCGCATTTTACGAAATTCAATCTCTGGACATTCTACCAATGGTACTGTTGATGACGTAGAGTTTGAAGAGAACTGGAGAGAGTTAAGGACGTCGGTTGTAGAGATTGAGAAGGAAGTTACCGGTAGCGATAGATATGAAAGAGGAATAGACCATTTATATGACTGTGATCTGAACCCGACCAAATCCAAGGAATATGTTGCCCAAATTAGGAGATGTTCAGGTAAATAAAATTATAAGTTTTATCATTTTATTTATAATAATTTCATTGTTGTTGATGATTTTCTTCTTGATTCATTACACTTTGCAACATATTTTTTGATTACTTTTACATGCATTAAGATTGAGAAAAAATGCTTTGTTTTTGTTATTATTTTCTTACATCCTATTTCATATCTTTTTAGGGGAACTGAAGGTTAAACGAGGTAAGAACATTTAATAGTC